CCCCCCCGCCCCGTTTTGATAAGCACCATGAAGAATTGACCATTTGCGTAATAGACTAAATTTTGAACTAAACAAGTCTAGACAAAAATTTCATCACAGCTTGAAAGAGCATCACAAAATTAGTAACATTCCAAAGTTTCGTTGCGAAATGTTGTGAAATGCGGAAAATATAGCCTTGCGAAATTTGCAATTTTCAGTCATTTTAGATTACAAACGGGAAATTGACAGCCCCAAACCCTTCGAGGCTGTCAATTTCCGGTTTGTAATCTAAAATGACTGAAAATTGCAAATTTCGCAAGGCTATATTTTCCGCATTTTTCAACATTTTGCAACGAAACTTTGGAATATTACTAATTTTGTGATGCTCTTTCAAGCTGTAATGAAATTTTCGTTGAGATCAAAATTTAGTCTATTACGCAAATGGTCAATTAAATCTCTACAAATTTTACCAAAATTTTACTAAAAAATCTCATTATTAGACTTTATCAAAATGTTTTCAAAATTGACGAAATTTTACCAAAAGTAAAATATTTACCAAATTTAGTCGCACTGTGTGGATATGGATACTCCGAAAATTGAAAGCATTTTGAAAATTTATTTAAAAAAAAAATTTGAAATAAATTTTCAAAATGCTTTCAATTTTCGAAGTATCTATTGTTGTACACAGTTAAGAAAGTAATATCACAATTACGGGAACCACTGAGTACAACTCAACCACGGCGCCAAGGCTTCAAAGGAACTGATCATATTTCAGTGACACTATTAAGCTCCTCCTTCTTAACTATATATACATCAGTATTTGTAAGTGTAACTTTACACTAATCTGTCCTGATGATGACTAAAATACAGTATAGTCGAAACGTAGATTCATTAAAACTACAAAATGTTATTTGGAGTTACTGTTCTTTTGTATTTTATATAAATACTCAGTGGTTCCCATAACTACAGTACAGGGTGTACCGAAAAAAGGTATACCTGTTGAATTTTCCTATTGTATTTAAACTGATTGTAATAAGTTGCCAAATGCCTGAGGGGGCCCCCTGAGCATTATATTGAACACACAGAACCGTAAAATACAGATAAAAGTCTACAAAAAAACCCCAAACTATTGAAATAGTGAAATACTGACGAATAGTTAGAATTTGATTGCCCTAACACTAAAGGCTAATTTCCACTCAGGAAAACTATCCAGTGGATTGGAACGGACAAGAAAATTTTTCTTTGTGTTAAAGTCATTAGTTCCAACCCAGAGCTCATGCACAAGACAAAGAAAAACTTTCTTGTCCGTTCCAATCCACGGATAATTTTCCTGAGTGGAAATTAGCCTTAAGCTGAACGCAAACGGATGCGGAAAATATTGACAGGAACAGGGTGCATGCATTATAAATACTGACTTATTAATATTAAGAAATTAAAATATCTTTGTAAAGCGGACGATTTTCTGCTCTTGGGAGTTAAAACTTATGCCAAGCTTTGATGCACTTGTTGGTTCAGCAGAGTGCTGAGGCATTCGAATTCTAACAATACGTATGTTATATAATAGTTTTGTTTGTGGAAACACCACGTGTATTTATAGTTACTGCAAATCTTTCGATCCGTAAACCCGGATCTTCATCAGTGCTAATAATATGTGAAGATGAAGATGATGAAGATCTGATGAAGATCCGGGCTGTTGGGGATTGCCTCCAATGTTTCACCCAACAATTCACAATATTCCAGGATTGACTGATAATAAAGTTTAATAAAATCACAATTCACACTCACTTTCTCATAAGCTCATCTTTACATTGACATTATTGTATATATCACTTAATTTCCCGTATAGTTTTACCTGTGTTCTTTTCACTCGTATATATCAGTTTTTACCAGGGACACGCTCTCAACTATATGTTTTTCTCAACACTAATTTTCCATGCATTTGCAATCCCTTCTATTTACCTTTGGTACCAGGCACACATTGACACGAACTTTACACAAGTTGGTACGCCTTGGTACGAGTTGTCACCTTAACTGCCCTAAGCTAGTTATAATATGTAAGTATAATAATGTTTTATTCCTGGTATAAATGTTCTAGTTTTCAACACACTCCCCACATATAGCTCGCTTGTCGAGATATATGTATTGAGGAGACTATTACTCATGGTTATATGATTACTTTGTTACTTACTATATGCTGTACTGTAGTCAATGAATGTTCATAATGTTAATGTTAATCTTTCATTGTTCACGATTTCTTGAATCCTTTGACTTGCTGCCGCGTCCCTTGTAGGTCTGAATGGTGGTACTGTGGGATTGAGGGGTTCACTGGGTTTCTTTCTTTCCCGGTCACAAGACAGCTCTAGTGGGTAAAGGTGGGTAGGTGGTCTCTCTAGGAAGGTTTTCCCTGCTCGCAGTCGTACGGCTCTGATCATATCATCACGTCCCTTATACAAATTTTCCACAATTCCTAGTGACCACTTCGCTCGATTTCGCTCGTCCGATTTGATGATCACGACGTCACCTTCCCTTAAGCTCATCGTTCTTGTCCCTTGATTCTGGTTGTGCCGCTCTCGCAATCCACGCAAATACTCCGTACTCCATCTCCGCCATACAGTATCCTTGCAACAGGACAGGAATTTCGCTCGTTTTCGTAAATCTGCTTCTTCATTGTGGTGGGTTTCGAGTTCGGGAATGTTGTTAGAGTGAACAAACCATCTTCGATATAACTAAGGGGTCTTTTATTCAACGCTACTTCCACATCAAGTAATCATGACTTGAATGAATAGTTTGTTTAATAAAAACATCATCTGGCAGTCAGAAGACTGAATTACATGACGTTAAGTGTTACAAGGTTATAAATAGTAAAAAATTCTATATTACAATGCAATTTAGAAATTGTTAATATATACTATGTATCATATACTTAAATGTACTAATCTATATGAATTAAAAATTCTAAAATGTTCAAGGAACATCTGATTTGTAATGTTTCTTAGCATAAAAGTTGATAAAAGAGTTTCCGAAACGATTTGTACTTGCTGGTGAAACTTCAAAAGATCTTTCTTTTCGTAATTCTCTATTGCCTGCTTTGGATGGTAAAAGTTTGGCAAGTTTATGATCATCATTTAAAACAATGTCGTTGAAGAGATTATTGGATAGATACTCCCGTCTGTTTTCAAGAGTAGAAATACCAGCGATGTTAAGAGCCTCGTCGTAAGACAATTCATAGAATATTATTTTCATTGCTCGCTTCTGTATACGTTCAATGTTTTTTGCAAGATTTCGTGGCAGGGAACTATGGAATAATTGGCACGCATATTCAAGGACAGACCTTATACAGCTGCAAAAAAATTTGACCAAATCTGCCGAAGCGACATCAGCACGTTTGAGTTGCCTCAACAAATATAAACGTTTAGCTGCTTTGGAGACAATTGAATTTACATGGTCTATCCATTTAAGGTCATTTCTTAATATAACTCCAAGCGATTTGATACTTGTCACTCTTTCCAAATTTCGGTCACCAATACGTATAGGTTCAAAAACAGGTGGTAATCGTGAAAAGGATATTACCATTTCTTTGCATTTAAATGGGTTTAGTTGAAAGGAATTGTTCATAGACCAAGTAGTAATATCATCGATATCCATTTGTAAAGTACTTTGTTCGTTTTTTTCAACAATTTCAGAGACCGTAGTATCATCGGCAAATTTCCACATTTCTGAAAGGTGATTTTGTAACACAAGGTCATTTATCATGGCTAAGAATAGCCAAGGCCCAAGTCGTGTGCCTTGAGGGACACCAGCTGGAACTTGGAGCCAGTCTGAGAAACAATTATCACTTAGTTTGACCCTTTGCCATCTATTACGTAAAAAGTCAATAATCCAGTTAACCACACAGGGCTTAATACCAAGGCTGAATAATTTCGCAACAAATGCTTTTTTATAATCAAGAAATATAGTACGAACAGATGAACCACTTCCATCTGTTGCACTCAACCAACAATGGAGCATCGATATCAAGGCAAGTACAGTGGAAGAATTTGGAATAAAGCCAAATTGTTGGGGATCAACAACCTTTAACAAAGTTGGTTTTACTTCTCTTTCGATTACAAGACGTTCCGCTGTCTTTGATAGGGTAGAAGTTAAGGAAATAGGTCGTAATTCCCTTTCCAAGTCTTTGACAGTAGATGTTTTTGGTAAGGGGACCACATCAGCCAGCTTCCAAATTTGAGGGACTTTGCAACTTTGAAAGGAAGAATTGATTATATTTGCAACTGGTGAGGCGAGAATATCCGAATAGGTTTTTAAAACCCAATTGGAAATACCGTCAGGGCCACTGGAACGCGATGTACTAATTTCTTGCAATTTTCTAGCTATAGTTGACTCGGTCACAATAATAGGCGTTTCATCGTTGTGTACAATTACAGCCGTATCTTCAGATAATGGAACATAGTTCTGTATCACATTTATAAAAACATTGTTAATTTTATTACTGAGGTTTATGTCTGTCTCCTGCCATAAATCTTGATGGAGGCGGTCTTTTACACTTTTGTTGTTATGTTTAGATGTGCCACACAACTGCTTCACTTCCCGCCACCAATCTCGGGGGTTAGTGTTACGTAAATTATGAACTTTAGATTGATAATAGCTCTTACGACAACGTTTTCGTTCACGATTAACTTTATTACGTAACATTTTAAAAAGAGTGACATTACCAGATGTAAAGGCTTTTTGTCGTCGATTTATCAGTGATTTCAGATTGCTGTTAACCCATGGTCGATCATTAGGGTGGACTTTTATTGAACGTTCAGGCATAATTAAGTTCAAACCATAGTTTATAATGCTAGTTAAAAAGTATAGTTTTTGATCATTTGAGGGTATGGACGATAAAATGTCCCATGGAATTTCCTGGAGAAATCGACCAAGACTTCTAATATTACTGGGTCGCATGTCTCTTGTTTTAACAATACGCGATTGTGGTTCGTGCGATCTTTTCCTCGTTCCAGGACACATGGCAATTGTTAGATGGTCTGATAAGCCAAACGGAGGAGCACTAGTAGGAGGTGAATAGTATTCAAATAGATTGGTATAAATTTGATCAAGAATATTGGCACCTCTGGTGGGAAAATCAATTACTGGTTTTAGTTGAAAAGGTTTAACAGTAGCCTGCAAGTCCAATTCGTTGAAATCACCGGCAATAATGATTGCAGGGTTAGGAATTGAAGATTCAATATATTCTAATGAAGATTGGACATAGTCACGCATACTTGTACAATCGGCATCTGGAGGGTGGTACACAACAGCTATTATCATATTTAAGTAATTTCGTGGGAGTCGTTTTGGTTGTAAAGCTAGCCACAATACTTCGTGATTATCACTATCTAACTCCGTTAGGCGGTTGCAAGAAATGGTATTGTTAATATAAAAACAAACCCCACCATGGGATTTGTGTTGACGATCACGCCTGAATAATTGGTAATTTGTAATATTAATAGCTTCATCTGGAACGGATTCTTTTAACCATGTTTCGCTGAAAAAGGCAATATCTATATGATTCGAAGTAAGAAATACAGCAATTTCATCGATTTTCGGGGCTAGCGACATAGTGTTTGACAATAATATAGCAGGTACAAAATGCGACGAACAAGACACGGTTTTACTATTAACTTCAGGGTTCACAGATACATGAATTAAATTGCTTGACTTGATTGTCTTACGACAGATGAGGTTTGGGTTGACATTTTCCTGGTTATTATTATATAAACAATGTTCAAGTAAGCTTTCCAATTCTCTTTCCATCCCGGAAGACGACTTACCCCCGGCCTCGTCTAATAATAATATTTGTATTATTACCGATAAAACTAATAATAATATTTGTATTATTATCGATAAAACTATAAATCATATAGCTACAGTAAGTCTAGTTTACTAACAAATAAATCCAATCGGATGGGAAGGGTATAATACTCTGAATATAACATACTTACTATTATGTTTGTGATGTTACTGAGTGTATATCCACACCGGGCGAGCTTGAAAAATATGCCCGCCCACGGTGGGAATCGAACCTACGACCTTTGGAATACTATAGCCCAATGCTCTGCCAACTGAGCTACGTGGTCAGGACGGTTTAAGTAAGTGATATTTCGGAACAGAATCTAGTTCCTTCGATACCAACGTAATCTAGTAATATGATTTTTTTGTGTGTGTTGGTGTTGTGTACGCAGGTGAATATGATGTTTGTGATGTTACTCTGAGTGTATATCCACACAGTGGCCGGGCATATTTTTCCCACCGTGGCCGGGCATATTTTTCAACCTCGCCCGGTGTGGATATATACTCAGAGTAACATCACGAACATCATATTCACCTGAGTACACAACACCAACACACACACAAAAAAATCATATTACTAGATTACATTGGTATCGAAGGAACTAGATTCTGTTCCGAAATATCACGTACTCGAACCGACCAGACCGCGTAGCTCAGTAGGCAGAGCATTGGGCTAGTATTCCAAAGGTCGTAGGTTCGATTCCCACCGTGGCCGGGCATATTTTTCAAGCTCGCCCGGTGTGGATGTACACTCAGAGTAACATCACAAACATCATATTCACCTGAGTCCACAACACCAACACACACACACACACACACACACACACACACACACACACACACACAAATAAAAAAAAATCATACTTACTATTATTATTATTAATAATAAAAATGTTTGGATACTTACTTAATTAAACCTGTACTCTTGGTGAGATTTGGTGGAAGATCCTGCGGTAAAGGTGCAGCACTTAAATCACTTCCAAGAGGTTCACCTCGTCTTCGACCATCAGCGGACGCTCCACAGGACATACCCCAACCAATATAACCTTCAAATGTTCCACTACCAGGAACCAATAGGAGATCGAAATCATGACCAGGTCTGGTGTATTTCTCTTTCAATGAACCGAGAAGATTGTATAATGGTGAACCTTGATGTTTAGCAACTTTCTTGATGGTATTAGCAATGCAATCTGCCACGAAATTAGCAATGTCGGAGATCTTCGAATTACATGCTGCTTCTGCCGTACCAAACTTTGGAAATTGCAAGGCTTGTTCTCGAACTTGTTTGTAGAATTCTGCTTTTCGACTTTTTCGTACTTCCCCATCAACTCTGTCGTGTGTTGGTTCATGGATGTCGTAGCCCCAGTCGTTCTTCAGACAATCGACCATTTCTGCTAAGGGAATCATTGCATTATCTTGGTCGAAGCACAGACGCTGGATGGCATACAGGGAATCAACAGTGCTCGAGAAGGAGATGTACATACATGCAATCATTTTATATTTAGCACCAGCATCAGTGATGTCATGCCCTGATTCCACACAGCCGTCAATGATACTGGACAGTAAGGGACTAGGACATACTGACGATATGTTGCCATAGTTGCTCAGGAGCCCAACAAGTCCTTGCTCTGTTTTTATTTCAATATGCTGTCTATACAATAAAATTAAAATTTAATTAAAAGGTTCTAGATTAATAGTGCCTTATGAAGAACAGACAAAAATCCTTATTAAAATGCAATTCCCGAGAATTTTACTCAATCAGGCTTGAGGCAAATCTGTAGTCAGTGTAGGGGTTTTATAATGGCTTGCACTATGTGCTGGAATGTAGTAGTTTCACACAGTAATGCTCTACATATTTGCATCTACTAGTTTATTTATACGAAGTTTAAAGCGCCATGATTTTGATCTTACTTGAATATCTCTTTAACATCTTCAAATGTTTCAATATCTGCAGCAGATTTGGTGGGCAATGATTGAGGAGTACCATTGAGATAAGCAGGGCCAGCACTGGAGTAGGTTGCTCCTTCGTTGATTGTCATTTCAAGAATTTGCAGCAAGGGAAGGTAGGTGAAAGCAAACTCTGTGCTACCAGCAACCAATGCTTCGTAACAACCATCACAAGCAATATTGGTGAGGGCATTCCGATCATCTTCAGAGACGTTTGTCTTAAATTCAGTCATGACATCTGTGAGACCTTCTATAAGACGATCATCATGAAGGATAATGGGATGTGCACCGCCACTTAGCATAGCTTTGCTTGCTTCGTCAAGATATTCTTGGCCAATATTATGATGCACTCGGAGACTGACACAAGGAGCATTGAGCGGTAAGCGTCTCGCAGCTTTCAGGCACATCATGGTAACTTTATTACACGCGCTCACCTTGCCTGTTTCAGTATTCTTGTAGCCACCAACCGTCAACTGTTGCACCCACTGGTTTATGGTATCACCATTCGGAAATAGACCATCACTTCTGTATGGAACTGCGCATGTACCCCAAGTGTTTCTATCCACTAACTTGGTCTTGTTCATTTTGACACGCTCTCCCAGTTTTACAAAGAAACAATCAATGATTTCCTGGGCTTCATCTTCAGGGGTTGCACCAAGGAATGGTTCCAGCAACTGATCAAGTCGTCCAATGGATGTGGGGTCACCAATCAAATGAAGGCAGCAGTGAACAGTAAAGACAAGTTGAGCCGCATCGACAAAACTTTGCGGCTTTTTAGTGGCAAGAGAATCCATACGATCGGCAATTCGTATCAGATTTTCTCTTTGTGCGTCGGTGAAGGGATATTCTCGCGGATTTCGTTTCTCTGGCTGCGTTTCAGCAAGGTGACGTGCGAGGGCTGCGTAATTCAACAGATAATTTCTGACACCTTTGAGGGATATGATGCATGATGTGATAAATTCTTTTTCAACGACTCCTAGGAACACAAACAAAAGACATTGGTAAGTCAAATAAAAATTATAGTCACTTGGTGATAATTACATGGGCTAGGCGTGTTGTCAGTTGCCATACATGCAGAGATCTTCAAATTATTAGTTGTCTATAGCCGTCCAGATTATATATAATTATTAATAAGTATGAGAAATACAACGGCAACGTCGATGAAGACCGCTCATCAACAATAGCATTTTTAATATAAGACAAAGGCAGCTTTTAATTGTATTCTCTTGAGCATTCTAGTATGGCGTTGTTCTTTAAACTGCTACGTTATTACCTCGGGTCGGTACGACACCGAGGTCTTAAATTCGGCTCCTATTTTTTTTTTCTTGTTTTTTTTGTTGTTTTTTTTTCCATTTGTGTCGAGCCGCGCGCGTAGTCGAAGATCGAAGGGCCTGTGGAGGAGACGACAACTTCCGGTAAATAAGTGTACTTCCGGCAAGCATCGGCCAAAGCGAAACGGAACCCGAAGCTGTCCTTGCACAAAATCCGTCAGAATTATTGATTTAAAACCAGAAGATGTGATAATTTTGACATACATGTTTAGCTGGATAACTATTCTCGAGTATATGTTGATATAATGCACAATACTTCGTATGCATAGCATGGGAATACCGCGGCCAACTTTCACTTGTTATCTATTATAATTACTGACCCGAATCAAAAGTAATTATTTTCGGCTGGAAGATACTGTACGTTGCTGCTTGTCGGGACCGTATGACAATGAACCTATCCAACGTTACACTAGACATTTGTGAGGACATGCATATAGACATAACCATAGGCACTGTAGTGCATTGTGATAGAACAGATTTCAGTTTAATTAATCGCCCTAAATTAAAATCTACACAAGCGGAGGTCAACTATAGTGTTCTAGTTTACATATTATCATTAATGATAAGGTTTACTCAAATAGCGTATTGGATAAACACGGGAATAGAACTTATGGTGTATTCTGCACATGCGTATATCTAGGATAAAATCCCACAAGCGCAAACGAAACTATTTCTCTATAAAATTGAACTGAAAAGACTCATAGCGGTCGTTTCCAACAGTGCTTCAGGCACCCGACGACACCGTATGGGGGGCCTTTAGCACTGTCACCTTCTCATCTTGGGATGTTCACGTTATCGCGTGTACATGTCAGGGTGACGAAGATGCATTATTGCTGTGTGCACTGATGCACGCTGCATTATTTTTAATAATGTTGTGTGCTATTTTAACGCGTACATAGAATATGACGCGTATAAACATTTACCCCTGAGCCGGAATTTCCCTATACAATCAAAAAGGCCGCTCCCGTTTTTCAGTAGAACGTTAAATGAAAACTTCTCGACATTCGCTGATATAATGCAGAGAGAAAACAATAGGTTTGATGAGGGTCAGTAATTATTATCAATAAAATATTAAAACGGAGCTTTGATTAACTGATTCACCATTTATACTAGTGAACTATTAAACTATCGTGATTTACACAATTTTTTGATATTTACCAGACGATCCCCTATCCACCGACCCGAGGTTAACGCCGAGTCGGCGTCTTGTTTACATCATTTTCATGACTCATAATCACGCCAACAGTAAAAATGTTCGAAGCAGTTTCGGGTGTGACTATTGCTGCCTAAGGGTTGTTTAAATGAAGAAAGGTAAGTACTTTCAAGAAGAAAATAATGTTTAGAAATGTATGCTTTCACTCGAATACAGAAATGTTAGTAAGTTTGCCAAACTCATTAACAAAGTATATGTTACAACTACAGTATAAATAAATACAATATACAAATATAAACATGCCCTCGTTCTCAAGCGAGGCAATAACGTGAATCAAGCTTGCTTCATACTGGTCTATATAGGTCTATATTAAGTAAACCAGTTTCTTACCTGATCCTTTTTTGTCGACCAACTCCATGATATATCCGCTCACACCTTTCTGCAAAATGGTGTCGATGTTCGGAATAACGTGACCTGTGGCCGATGTTTCACTAAGACCTTTCATAAATGCATCCATTTTTTCATTACCTTCCTTGAGATACGGCATTGCGACCTTTCCAATACCAAGACCAAAGTTGGGCATTCTTCCAACGATCATTTCATCAGGATGAATATTGAAAAGATCTGCTTTATTGCCATAAAATTCACTGTCATCCATATCTTTTACTCGGTTACTGGTAAAAACCTTTGACAAACAGATCTTGATGGACTTTGCTTTGCGGATGAGGACGGATTGATTCATCACCTTCTCGACTCGCTGCGGTTTCAAGTAGTTTTCCAAATGCTTTATTGGCGGTACGTCTCGTTCTCGAAACCACTGGTCATTCCACTGACGAAATGCATATCCAAGGAGGCGTAAAACTCGAGAAGTCGGAACTTCGGATAAATCAACATAACCTCCGGAGGTCATTCGATACAGATATTCCTTCTCGTTGTAGAAAAGGTATGGATTATTTGGGTTGCTGATGTTCCAATATTCATTCACTTCGAAATTTCCACTTGACGAAATACTCACTCCAAGTTCTTCAGCTGACGGGACATACCACCAGGTTCCTTCCAGCGGCTTGACGGTGTTTAACAGCAGATCGACAGTAACCTCGCCAGCTCCAGCGACATCATCATTTCCAACAAGACTTTCCAAAACGTCCCTGAAGGAATTTGTTGTGTTAGCGAAGGAAAGATAAAATATTCCCTCTTCTCTCCCTTTTCCTGTAGCAGATGTTCCATATGGAAGTGATTGTCGGAACATGATTCGATGCTTGTTGAGCATGTTTTGAGGAGATTTCTCAGGATTAAAATGGGCTCGGAAAGTATGCGCACGCTTGTTAACACTTGGGATAAAGGAATCCGTCATTACTCGTCGACCAATCATATCTTCTTTTTCAGAATTCCACATATTTCCGAGAACTAACCAATCCAACTCGAACTTCTGTGTCATCATGTAGCTGGATCCAGGCTTTCCTGTTGTCATGTTATCAGGAATGATGGTATACGAACGCAACGTCTCCGCATCGGCTGCATTGACAAGACCATCTCTGAAATTTCTTTGCAGGATACGTTTTCCCGAGGGTGATGAAAAAGAGACGTCGGCGTGTTGCTTAAGATCCTTTAACTTCTCAAGCAGTAGATGGGCAATTTCATCAACATTGCTTTTGTCTTCGGACTTAATGAAGAAGAAGACGTCGCCACCAGTTTCGAGGAACTTGGTTGAAGTATCAATTAGGTATTTTTCAGGGCGTTGCTCCAGGTCTTTAATTTCTGGAAACCACATTTTCCAATGCGCAGGATTAAAACCGACGGTGATACGTGTGCGAGCTTCTGGATGAGATACATCAAATTTATTGGCGTAGTCTAACAGCTCTCTGCACTTTCTAATGACATCATCTTTCAGCTTAAGAACTTTGCTGGGATCATCATAACGAACATTAACAAAACAGCCATGGTCAGGTGTTGCAAAAAGCAGACCTTTTTGTGTCTTTTTAAGAATCTCGTTTGACGATAACATCGCGGATCTGAAAGAATGTAGTAAGAATATACCATAAATATATCTGTATATGTCTTTTCAAGGAAAGAAAATGTTGCATTGTAAAAGTTCTGAAATGAGCATGTTCACAAACTTAATTCCCAATCTCAACAACCTTATTTCCCTGGAGCCGGTTGTTCATATAAGCACGATTAGCCAGATTTCAGAAAAATATTCTCAAGTTTATAAACAACCTGGTCCTGTTTGGTTTCAGGTTTTACGTTAACCAAGGAATAATAAATAACGGTATGGATAAATATCAAGATTTTGTTGGCATCTCGCTCGATTGAATAATAGTTGAAGAATTTGTAGGCTAAATGACATTCATATTCCTATTTGGGCATGATAAGCTTCATTTCATTTCGGCTATCTGTTCAGTTCCCACTTTAGAATCAATAGAATGATAAATATTGAATAAATAGGATCTTTGTGGTTTTCCGGGGTTGAAATAACGCCTATCAATGATCGGCAAGAAATTGTTTATGATCGCCGGAAAAGCAGGGCTTTCAACCAGACGAAGCAGGGAAAGTCATGACTACCGATGGGTTGTTTACCATTTACATGGAAAACCCATCCGGTTTGACATTGTGCTAATGGTAAGCAAAATTTCGGATAGAGAATCCCATTCGGATTACGCGCTTTCCATTTAGAGTGACTGACCGGAAGGCACTGAAGGGTTGTTTACCATTTACATGGAAACCCCATTCGGTCGGAATTAAATCGCGAAGAGCCTGGAACTGGTGAAAAAATAAAAGATGTAAATGTAACAAAATTCACCGGTTAATTGAAACGCTCCAATCGGTAAGAGAAGACGACCTTTTCAAACAAACCGTTTATTCCGGAAAAGTTCCGATTGGGCCGTCGAAATATGCTTGTTCAATTTACTTTCCGTATGGAATCACCGGAATTTCCATGTAAATGGTATACAACCCATGATCGGTAACTTTGGGAACCTTATTTCAAGCCCTGAATTTTGCATGGAGATAGTGTAATATAAGTTTTGGTTTGTGGAAGAAATGCGTATATTTATATGTAATAATTTCCTTGTTTTCGGATGATTTTTTTTGTAATCGAGTGATTGGAAGAAGTGAATATGGCGACGTATACATGGGAGTAAATACCGTATACGTCGAGCTGTGACTTGTTTAAAACCGTAACAAACGAAGAAAGACGTGATATGAGAATGAAATGTAAGTTGAAATTAACTTTATATGCCTCAAATTTTCCATCCTATGTTTCTTAATGTAACTTCAGCTGTCTAAGTTCAAAATACAAGCTCGCGAAATTTGACAAATTTTGAAACTGTATTTTCTCAAAAATAGCCCGTGGCCTCAATTTCAAATATAGCTAAATGAAAAGAAAAAACTTTTCGGCGTTTGTAGGTATCAACATGGATAATAAAATAAATGGATAGGAAACTAGCTGACGTGACCTAATGTTTTTACTAGTTATTCTCAAAAACGGCATGTTTAGCAATAACACAGCTAAACATTTTAGTCAAAGAGCAAATAAATGTAACCACGCCATTCTACGATGAAAACTCTAAGACTAAGTATTCCCAGTCAATTTTAGCAAATATTTCAAGCATTAAACAGTGAAAAATATATCGCAAATTTCGTTAAAATTTGTGACGCCAATTTCGTAGCTACAAATGTAAAAAAATACAAAACAAAGACGAAAAATATTTACCTTGAATACTTTGTCGTGGCTTAGGCATGTTTTTAAAACAATTAGACCAGTTTACGCTTCATGATCACCCTTTTAACGTGGAAAATATAGCAAAACAACAAATATGCCGAGAACTTTGGTAACATTCGCAATACGCGTGACGTCACATTTTTCAACAAGGATGCAGTCAATGACGTCAGAAGTTTCCAATCCATTTATTTTATTATCCATGGTATCAAACATATCGTCAGGAAAATAGGGGCTCACAATGTTTCAGCTTAGTCTTTGAGACCCAGTTAGCAGTTGTTTCGCACGTGTTGTAGTCAAATTTTCGCCAAGAATCAAAGGCCGAAATGTGAACTTCCTTCATGAAAACGCTTCGAGAAGGGTCTAGTTTGAAAATTTAGCTATTAATTTCGATTTCATCAGCATATTTTGGTTACACATTTAATTGATGAGATTCAAAATGTGTTGTATATTCAAGCCCGGCTTCAGTGTAATTTTGGTGATGACCGGAACAGAAATAAAGATATTTTAAAAACTGGCCGTGGCCTCACGATAAAACTTTCTAAAAATGTTCTCTGTCTCATGTATTTTTATTTGATATCTTAGGCTCTCTCCTCCGCAGAGGCTTTAGTTTTCTTAGGATTTAATATTACGATGAGATACATTTCACTACACTTTACATGGCGGATCTTGGAACACGAGCGTAGCCACTGGGCGAAGGAGCGCAGGCGGTCTTAGGTATAAGCGTAAAAATAGGGGCTCATACAGTTTACGAGGTTGTAAAATACATGACTTGCCTCTATTTTCATGCAAACATTCGAAATTTTTCGACAGCAAAGTAGCAACTGTTTCAGATCGAATGCACACGGACAGCCCACCAGAGACAATGGCAGGGTACTGAAATAGAACGTCACTAAAAAATTCTGTATGATTAATTTAGATCATGTCCATTTTCAACATAAACAGTCATTGATTTTGTACAAACATTTGGCAATATTTACAAAATTGTGCCTTTTTGTAAACACGCGTTGCGTGTATTCCACGCAATTGCGCGGCTCATTTTGCTCGCGCATGCTCAGACAAATTTCCTACCTGTTGTTCGCACTGAGCTATACTATATTACTGGAGGACGTGCTCGGCATAAAAAAGTGTCGCCAAAAACATGGCGGATTTTCGCGCCATATGACGCCATTTCCATGACAACTGGTTCCTCCGGCTCATGAAATTACCACTGACCAGGCTCAATTCTGAGCCCGCTGCGATTTTCACACCCCCCTGGTTTTATCAAAAATATTTTTGCTTTTCGAAGTTTTTGCAGCAAATTCTCGTTGTTTTTTTATATTTTTTCGACTTTTGACCATTGGTTCAAAGATTTAAAAGTCGTGCACGCTATTCTCACCCGCGAAAGACAACAAACCAACATGAAAACCCCGAAAAAGTTAGGCAAATGCGATATTTGATGGCACAGCTAACAGGTATTAAATATTTCACAATTTACTATTGATATGCTTTTATTTTTAATTTTTAAAAGATAGTGGGAGTAAATGATAGAATATAATCCATTAGATAACAGGCTATTTGTATAGTATAACGTATTATTTCCCCCCTTGTATTCAAACTTTGTCGTAAAAAATACAGAAACTTTCTTTTTATATTCAAAGTTTTTTTGTTTTGTTTTTTTCACTTTTATACTAGCTTTGTTAAATTGTTGGCTGGCCATAGTTTTTGTTAAATAAACAAATTTTGCTTTATTTAATTCAGTTGAATCAGTTTTTTCCCTCAAATCCTTTGGGTTTTCTATATAGACTGATGACTGAAATCTGACATGCTTGAAACAATGTGCTTCTATCTATATTTTTTGTGTTTATATATACTAGAGTCTGTGGTTATTATAGTATGCATAATCTAGGGTGCCAGTAGAAGCTAGCCTAGGGGTACCAGAAGCTCAGGATACTGTGGGCAACTTATCCTGGTAACACGATTTCTACCTAGATTTCTGACTAATATGACATGTTGGATTGAGGATTCTTGAACCACTAGAAATAAGATTGTACTTCTTGAATGTTGGGTACCAATCACAAGTGTAGGTATTAAGCAAAGTATCTAGATTATAGGCTTTATAGGGTTGCACTGGATCTCATTATATAGGCCAGAACTGAGAAAGTCACACATGCTAGTCAGACATCAAGTCAGAAACAATTTAATTGGTAGATAATGTCACTTCCAGTCCATGCAGGTGGATTTATTTGGGGTTTTGTTCATTTCAGTCCTCTCTCTGTGCACCCCTGTATCAGATGCAACTACCTGAAACTAAGAAATCAATGAACTTCAACATTTCAGGTGAAAGACCTATAATCAGGGCCTTTTTTAAGGATTTTCCCGTGGGGGGGCATTTTTTGAAAAGGGACCTTTCTGTGAGATAATATTTTAGAGGGGGATAGCAATGGCTGAAAGCCACGTGTGTGGCAAATATACCACGCATGAATGGGGGGTCTGGGGGTGTACTCCCCCAGAAAATTTTTGAAATTTGACTCCCGGAAATGTCATTTCCTGCATTCTGAGCATCCAAATTTGCTCCAAAATTTATCCTAACTGGCTAACCATACTTGTATTTGAAATAAATAAAGGAAGAAACGCACAAAAAGTAAAAAAAATTAACCATCATTTATCGTTACTTATTAGAGGAGGATAGCAATGGTCAGGTGTGTGGGGATGTATTCCCCCAGAAAATTTTTGAAATTTGAACCACGGAAATGCCATTTCCTGCATTCTGAGCATCCAAATTTGCTCTAAAATCTATGCTAACTATAGTTGTATTTGAAATAAAAGATGGAAAAATGCACAAAATTAAAAGTAAAAAAGAATATTAACTGTAATTTATCATTACTTATTAGAGGGATAATCCCAAGAAAATTTTTGAAATTTGAAACCGTGAAATGCTATTTCCTGCATTCTGAGCATCCAAAAAATAAAAAAAATGTTAACAATAATTTATCATTACTTAGTGGTAAAAAAGTAACAATTTAAATCGATTTTGTTAAACAAGAACAAAGGATAAAGCCTAGAACTTACTTTCCGTTTATCTATTTGTTAATCTTCGCTGGATTGTTTATATAATTTTAAGAAAAAGGGACTTTTCCTGGGGGGGCAAAATGTGATTTCGTGGGGGGCACAAGGGGGAACTGGGGGGGCAAATGCCCCCCCCCAGCTTGTATGTTAAAAAAGGCCCTGATATATATATATATATATATATATATATATATATATATATATATATATATATATATATATATATATATATATATATATATATATATATATATATATATTTATATATATTGTGTTTACACGCCTAAGCTTTATTTCCCATGCATAGTGGGTCCATGCATGTATCGACGTCAACGCATGATGCATGCATGCCGTGCTCGTAGAATAATCGTTACACGAAAACAACCTAGTGTAAACTCGAGGGTAACCTTTGTATAGTTATGCGAAACATGTTGTGGTACTTAAATTATGCAATGCTAACTACTTCCAGCGATTAATTTAATCCTAATTCTGTTCTCTACTGATCTACTGTCCTGAGCACATTTACAACTTAAAGCTCTTTTATACAATAACACACGCACCCCACGCATATGCATTTTAAGGTTTCCTTGTCTGGCTGCCAAAAGGGCATGTTTCAGCTTATTTCATTACTTACATTACTCATGCTTCTTGTGCAAACAACTAAATTGCGTACACAACTTTACATTAGTTATCATAACTTCAACTATCTAATTTGCGCCGCTCTCGTGATTCGTGAAGCATAATAAACGGCATATTATAAGGGCATAATACCAGCAAAAAAGGGCATAATTCCCGTGATCGCTTCGATCGAAACCTGACCAATATTCCGGTAATGAAACGTTGCCTGTGATCACTGATCATGTTTCTATATGAACGATTTCGTGTGAGCTGTGAGGTAGCAAATACGGTTAGGCAAAATAGTCTGTAATTTAATATATGTCGCCTATGCGCTTAGTCTGTTTTATACTGTAGCCTATAAACACGTCTTTTCTTGGCGGAAGTAACCATATTTTTTCGAGAATGTGTTTTTTCCCACCCACTTTCAAAATTCGGCGCCCCATTTTCATTTTTGCGCCCCCCCCCAAGAATTGCCAGCTGGGGGGCCGTGGCCCCCCGGCCCCCCCTGCCAGCACGCCACTGCTAGTGAACATTTCAAAGGGCTAGCTGATTCACTTGCATGAATTATTTTCAAACTTAAAATCTTACACTTTGATTTAAATAGCAGTCTCTGCTAAAGAAATATTTATTATCCTAGTAATACATAAAATATATAATAATGCAAAAGTTTTCGAATCGGTCAATAATTTTACTGTTTTAAAAGAAACTACAAATTCACACTCAAATTCTCCAGCAAAGAATGTTTATAGCAGGAAATATGCCGTTCAATGGTTGGGCATGATAGATGCAGTTTAAAATTTTTATCGTGCATGTGATTTAATCTTATTACTGGTAGTTATCACAGTAGGAATATTTAATTTGCATAGTTAAATTCTAAGTTTTGAAGTATTTGTAAGAAATGTTTGCGCAAGTGTAAATTGTCATGGTCAATGAGAGACGGTCCTCTCGGTTGAATCAACTCACATCCGAACAAACTAAAGTCCATATTGTGTAAAACATATTCGGATTGTTAATTGTCGGATAAATGTCTTTCATGCACCTGCACGAACAGGCAATCGACCACTTCACAATCTATCAACTCATTAACGCCACAGCCACAGGAGAATTAGATAGTATGGCTAAAATTATCGCATATTATTTGCAGCCACATGGTAGCCGAATAAAAAACATAGAATTGTTGTTGTCAGTTCTGAAAACGTATAGAAAAGTATTTGCTATATTAGGTACATTGCAGTAAAAGTCCCCGACTATATACATATACCAGTATGGCATATAATCAGCCTAAGATTTGCGACCAGAATTATAACAATCTGTATACTTTCCTAAAGCCTGGTTTATACTCTCAAAGATTCTGTGATCACAGCAGGAATTTTGCACAGGTAAAAAGGAATTTTAAAGCATTTGTAAGAAATGTTTGAGGAAAATGACTTAATAGGCAATTCCAGCTTTTAGTTTATGCGTGCAGGAGA